TTGGAAACTTCATGTTTTGGAAAATAAAAACAATATTATTATGATTAAAAAAAATAAATAAATAACTTGAAAAAATAAATCAATAAATTACATACACATGCAATGTTTAATGCATACATATTATATACATAACCCTCATAACAATCAGTATATGTACTCACATATAATCCCAGGATCTAGATCTTCATAGTAACCATAGTAACAGATCTGTTGTAGCAACATGGGGTGGAATTTTTCAAAAGCCCTCACATCCTTGAGCCTGGAGTAGATAGCATCCAGGTCCTGGCCTGAGCGGTCACATGGCCTGCAACCATAGCAACAAGAGCCATCATACATTGTGTTAGGTGAGATCCAGGGATTGTGTGCAGATGTGTTCTATGTGATAATAAGGTCTCATCTACCTTCGCTGTTACGTAATCCTAGCTTTATTTAGAGTACTTTTGGTTTTATTACCCATAATGCTCCTTTTCCCAGGCACCTTCATCTCTTACTGAGCTTTACTTTATTATTATATAAAAAGCAGTATTTATATCTACCAGTATATTGTATCTGTATTGTACCCTGTCACCAAATGCCTCTGGTGTTTTGGGTGTAATTAAGATTATTTCTTATGACATATTTTTTGCTTAAATGTTCTTGTTGAAAGAGAATCAAGGCACAGTGATTATGTGTGCTGTTTCTACCCACAGACATTTTTTTTTTTGACACGAATATAAAACTGTGTGGTGGATCCTGGAATCTACCATAATTAAGCTGGGGGAGCACAGTGATAAAAAATTGCAACGCTCCATAAATATAAAACAATTTTGCTATGTACAAAAAAGAGAACAGGGATGGCAAAATTGCTTGGGTTTTTCTAATTTAATTGTACAGAAAGCAATGAGAAAAAATACTTGAAATTTTCATGATAAACACTATTACTTGCATTAATAATGCATTATTGAAGACTCAATATTTCATATAACCACTGATATATAAAAATGCTGGCATTCTTCCACCCCAGCTGTGACTGACTCCCATCGGCATGTAGAAATTACTCATTTCATATTTATTTCCCAACTTGGTTCAAAACTCAGTCTTACAGGAAGCAACATTAAATTAAATTTATAAATAAGCGCTTTCCTAATTCCTTTTTTAATGGCAATTCGCTGTTCTTTAAAGATGCATTTTTTTATTTTATTTTACGTATCTGTGTGTGTGTGCACTTAGTTCTACATATGCTACATTGATATCTGTAAGACTTTAAAAGGAAGTACATAGCCATTACTAGATACCTGGCTAAGTCTAAGTTAGATCTGGTGTGAACATGTACCAGCAATTTTGTGCACACACACACACACACACACAGAGTGAGAGAGAGAAAGAGAAAAAATTACATGCATATGCAAATATGCATGATCACCTATACAGACAAACATGCATTTACATAGAGATGAGTGTATGTTGCTATATGAAACCTGAGCTGCTTTAGTAAATGTTCAAGTTTATTTTGATGCACTAGTAATAAACATGCCTAAAATTCTTTCCAATCTGAATTAGTCTAACAACAACTGGTACATTATCAGCTGTATAAAGTGGTTCCTGTTGTCAGTATAAACTATATTAAAATATAATAACTTGAAAATATATATTCTTATCTTACAAAAAAAAAAAAAAAAACTATATATATATATATACAGAACATAATCAATATAATGGGTTAATAACATTAAATGGAATACCACTTAATTGGCAAAATCAATTTCCGACAGCTTTAGCCTCTATTCCTGATTATATAACTTCAAAGAGAATATAAACTTTGATTATCAGGTAATGTGTATTTGGCTTAATTAACTCTGCTACAGCTGGATATATATATATATATATATATATATAGAGAGAGAGAGAGAGAGAGAGAGAGAGAGAGAGAGAGAGAGAGAGAGAGAGAGAGAGAGAGAGAGACATAAACACACACACGGTTAATTTCCAATAAAATACAGAAAAGCTGGCGATTATTAGAGAACTTAAGAAACAAGAGGAAGCATGTTATTCTGTTAAACTGACTGTATTCAGCAATTAGGAATGCCCCCCATAGTCTGAGAAGGCAAGATATATGTGACAATTACTTCAAAGCTTTGTTTGATAAAGCAGCATTTCAGTTTATTAAGTTAGTTTTACAACCTCAAGTGTTTTGCGTAAAAATCTCCACATTTTTGTTCTCACAATTGTCCCCACTAGCCTTAGTATATTTATCTGCATAAATTTTTCGATTCTTCTCTAGTCACAAAAAATATGATCAACCTTGGTTCATATACTGGGCATATATGTTCTAAAAAAAATGTACAGATTATCTCCTATAGTTTTCCAAGTACACAGTATAAATTTAATTTTAAAGTGATTCCAAAGCAGCACTCAAAAAGAAAAGCTTCATTTTTAAAGCAAAAGCCATTTATTCAATATAGTGTCACATCTAACACACTATCACATTCAACAATGTCACATCCAACACAGTGTCAAATCTAACACGGCCCCACCCAAAAGTATGTCACATCAAATATACTACATAACAAAAAAAAAAAAATAATAAAATAAAAAATAATAATAATAATAAATAAAAGCTCCATATTTCCCACCAAACCTTCACACAAAATGTCACATCCAACACAGTGTCACCTCTTACACGTTTCCCACAAAAACTTTGAAAACTTTCACACTGATCCTTTGTCTCATTACCTTAGAGTTAACACTGCAATATCCCTGGCATCAAACAGCATAGTCAGGAGTCAGCTTTATCCTCAGAGTCTGTTTAAGCAACTAGTATTCATTTGATGATTTTTATGTAATGGTCATCAACTCCGCAATTGTTTCGTAGCTGGACACTCAGTATTGTTTTCACACAACTCAATGAGCACAGTTGTGCAATTAATCTGCAGTTCTTAAAACGAAATTAATAACGGTGAGAGCTCCAACTGATTTTGTCCAAGTGACGGCGATTGCTTTAAACTTGTTATGATCCCATCAGACCATTCACTGAGCTGACAGCAGTTTATGGCAGAGAATAAAGCACGGTGGTGATAAAAACATCACATACTTTGGAAAGAGAGCTGGACAACAGTTAAGTGTGTCCAAGCAGCGTCCACCCTGGTCAAGTGTCCAAAAGTGTTAATCTCTATGGTTGCAACACATATTTAAATTCAATCACATATTCAAGGGTCACTGGCTCTATTACACTTCATAAAGACAACTGTGTCAGTTCATCAACTTCAGTTCTCTAACTGTTAATATAAGAGTAGCTTCATCCTGTTTTCAACAAAACTGACCTTACAATAATTTTATTAGGGAGTATCATTGACACTGTACATTACACTAATGACTAGATAACGAGGCAACTGCTCAAGTTCATTAACTTTACTTCTCTGTTAGACATGTACTTGAAGAGCTAGACTTGAGTGTTACCACTCTTCAACCATTACACACTGACACATTATTGTGTTCTTCACAAGACATTGAAAAAAAAACTGCCTACAAGTTCCTTGAATATTTACTTCAGCTCTGTGAAACCCAAGTGTTTCCCTTTAAGTCCAGCACAACAGGCTGAACCACATACAGAAGAGCAAGATATATATTCTGTACAGCAACTGCTGAGTTCATTGACATTCATCCACTGTTATTTTACGAGATATGAATTAGCACTGTCTACACTTACAATAACACATTCAATTCCCAGTTGTTGCCTATGACATACAAACCATTGGGAGGTGACAGCAGTTGCTGCTTTACTTCATGATTAGCCTTAAAATGACAACAATTTAATTCAGTGACAGCAGTGATCTGTCATTCCGTATGGATAAATACAGGTATCTTAATTCTACATTTAGAATGCTTCGTGTTACATTCATTTAGCTTACATGTACTTTCAAATCAATGGCATATATTGTGCTAGCTTTTTTTATATAGTATCTGTCGATACGTTTTCATCTAACAGAATTATCATCAACACCTGTATATGTTTTGTTTGGGTTCAGGCATTTTTATCTTAATTAAAGCAACAGTTCTTTGGGTTCAGATATAGCATCAGTTGTCAACTATAAATACAAATCTGCAGTACGTGTCAGCTACTGCTAATAAGGACATTGTACTGAACCAGGCCTGTAGCCAGCAATTTCAAAAGGGGGGGGGGTCTTTTTCTGAAAAAGTGGATCTTTTACATAGATCAAATTTTACCCGGTGGGGTTCTTATCCTGACAATTAAAAAGGCCGGTTCATACAACACCCACTCTGGTTACGGGCCAGTAAATTGTTATCTTTTCAGGGTAGTCTTGCTTGTTTCCTGTTTCCTGCGAAACTTAAAAATTTCTCGTCAATGACGGATAGGTGAGGTTTATACAATGAAGACACGTAGGCAGGAAACAAGATCCTAAAAACCATATCCTGTTTTCTTTCCTGGTAAATATTCAATACGTCTTGGTGCAGTGCGACCACACTTGACTGACTGAATGGCATCACATCTTAAACAATGTTTCTTAATTGTCACAAGTACATTTAGCACATGTACAGCAAGTCATCGCTTTGTTTGAGTTCAGACAGTTTTGTCTTTGCAAAGACAATAATTCTTCGGGTTCAGTGGCATCAGTTTTCAATTATTCTATTATGTTTTGTTAAAAGTTCAGTTTACTTTCAATTGGCTTATCGTCACTGATATGTATCTAACAACAGTGCTTCCTTAAACAAAAGTGCATACATACAAAACTGGTTACGTAAATGATAATATATGTATATCTACAATACTGTCTGAAATGCCAGTGCTCAGACAATGAACGGTGATATTTTCATAACAGTCTTAATTGCTCAAGGGAGTATTGCATCAAGTCACACGTACAGTTAGACAACTGATACCATTCATAAACAAGTCACGCACCTTGAGTGGGATAATAATTTGTTTAGTTTTCCCCTTTGTAGGTCTAATTCACTTCCACAATCCTGCAGGGAGCAATTCCCTCAGTAAGTCTTGTCATGTCGCATATGTTGTTGCAAACAAACTCCTTATTATCTCAGATCAATAAATTCGCTCCTATAAGGGTTATTAAAAAATCTTCTAGTGGCACTTAATGTACAAGTAATTCTTTTCAATTTTTACTATAAAATTATCATCCTTTTATAAAACCTCGCAATGACAGTATATAGGCAATTAAACCAATCCTGAATGAGATTCAGTGACATCATCAGACAGTCTACATGCACCCAGCAGTAATCCACCTCACACGTACTCGTGTGTGTCAATATTGTCCTTAATGCATGATCATGAGTGGTCACCTATCCA